ACCTTTGCCGGAAATTCAGCGGGAACGACAAGCTCATCGGCGACAGTACCTGTAAGTACACCATTGACATTGCTTTCAACGGAGGATTACCCTATGGCACCAGGGCAACCCCTCTATCCAACCTAGTCTGATGTCTGCATGGAAACGCGTTATGACCTTGCCCGACTCCTGGAGCCCCTCCCCAGTCTCCCAGTGTTTCTTCCGTACCTTCCTCACCGGGCGCATAGATCGTGCCTACAGGGTTTGTTCTGGTTTGCGGCCACCGCGGCTATGTATGGGCCAGCCCCCACTCCCGTGGCACTTGTTATCTCGGTCTATTTTGCCTGGAGTCCGGGTCACCCCAGATCTACCCTCCGCGAAGGAGCGCAATAAGAGGGCAAAAGACTTATCGCAACTCTCCGACGTAGCGGCCAATAGTGAAACCATATGGTCGGGGCTCTCTTTCCCGCGTATGGAGCGGCTCCAACCACGTCGATATCCTTAAATTAACGGACATCCTGTTAAACTTCATGGAGGAGTCCAATGCGGCTACCAAGCTATCTGACAGAGTTAACGGAAGTCAGGCAGACTTCGATTCAGAACCGCCTTTGCTTTGGACTACGTACTCGCCTCGACGGGAGGCGTTTGTGCCCTTGTCGGAACCGAGTGCTGCACACACGTATCTGATCAAACCTTAATATTACCGGACACCTTACAACATCCACAAACTAGCGGACGACTTAAAGACATCCAACATGAAGGACTCTCAGATACCCAGTTGTGGAGCTGGCTGCCTGGGTCTGGCTGGATAAAACACTCTTGGGGAACGGACTTTTGATCCTCATTACTGTGACCATCTGCCATTGCTGTCTTTTGCTGTGCAATTCATTGCTTCCCGATGTGCTGTCAAACTTGCGACTCTTGCCTTCCAACCCCTCGCCCGCGATCGACTATCACCTTCAGACCACCGGTACCAGGAACCCAGTCGAACCCCATTGAAATGGGGCCCCTGAAGACCTCCAGAATCTGGACTCTAGGTATGACATGTCGAACTTTATTGATTTGTGCGGAGAAAAGGATTGCGCGGTTTCTCTACCTTCGCAATCTTATCTCCGAAGGGGGGAACTGTCGCCGGAAATCACCCCCCCCTTCAGTAACACGTACTGCACAAGCACCGCATCCACACGTACCCGTATCCCCCCTTCCTGACCCAAGAGATGTCCCTTTAGAGGGCCATCTCTTAAAAGCCTTCCGTAAATAAGGAAGCGCTAGCTTGACAGCTTTTGCTTTTAGCGCTCCGCGCCGCCCTATCCTTTTTTGAGAGTAGACCGGACGACCGAACTCTAGGTCAAACGACAGCCGCCTCAGCCAATCAGCATTGTCGAACAGCGCCCCTTGCGGCGGCCACGCTGGTACTGCAGGCTGCGAGCGTCTCTTCCCTCACCTTTTGACAGTTCTCAATACATTGTTTCCGAGTTAATTGACCGTGACTGATCTAATCAAAATGTTGCAAGTTGTTTTCCGAGAAGGGAAAGTGCTTTGAACTTCAGTGACTGTATTCTTTACAAATTCACCAAAAATCAGCCGTACTATGGATTTCCACCGGACCACTTTTATTAC